CAGCCAGGGCTACTCAGACACACCCTGCCTCAGAAAAAGAAAGGAGACAGAGATGGCTCAGAAGTTAAACGTGCATATTGTTCTATCTTTTCTCTCTGCTGTAGATCTGGGTATGTAAATGTGGGCATATGAATGCCAAAATATGAGTACGCTAGAAAACAACTTCAGATATGCCTTCTACCTTGTTTGAGATAGAGCCCACTGTCTTTTGGGCTTCTTGGAGGGGGAGGGGATGTTGTTTGTTGGTTTTTGATTTGTCAGGTTTTTTTGTTTCTTTTTGTTTCTGTTTTTTTCTGTGTGCCCTTGGCCATCCTGGAACTCGCTCTGTAGACCAAGCTGACTTCCAAACTCATAGGTCCACCTAGTGCTGGGATTAAAGATGTGTGTATGCCAGCTTTTCTTGAAACAGTCTTCACCATATAGCCCAGGCTGTCCTAACTCTATCTTCATATCTCTCCCTCTCTCCCTCTCGAGACATGGTTCTGGATGTCCTCAAACTAAGAAACCTGCCTTCCTCTGCCTCTCAGTGCTGAAATTAAAGGTATGGGACATCACTCCCTTCATGCTGCTCCTTTTTTTTTTTGTTTTGTTTTGTTTTTCAGCTGTTCTAGCCTAAATTTACTTCAAAATAAAAGATTTGTTAAGCTGCATTTCTTGCAGAGTATGGTGACACCTGCCAGTATTTCCAACACTTAAAACATGAAAACACAAACCTGGTTGTGGTGGTGACACCCTTAATCCTAGCATTTGAGAGACAGAGGAAGATCTGGCCTACATAGTAAATTCCAGGACAGCCAGGGCTACACAAAGAAACCCTGTCAAAAAAAAAAAAAAAGGAAACAGAAGTATCTAGAGTCAAGGTCTGTCTGGACTACATAGGGAAACCCTGTTTCAAAACACACAAAACTTTTGCCACTGTAAACATAGAAGGTGATGGCAGACTTTTGGTGGCCTGTGCCTCTCCCCAGCACCTGGGATGTACAGGCAAAATGACCATGAGGCCAGTTTAGGCCATAGTGAGATATTGCCTCGGAAAAAAGGTGGAGGAAAGTTACATTTACTTCTCATTCATGATTTTCTTGCATTTTATGGAAAACTAAAACTTATGTATCAACTACCCATGCTTAATATTTAAAAAAAAAAAAAAAAAAAAAAGTGGGAGGGCTGGGAATAAGGCTGAGAAGCAGAGCTTTCCCTACCTAGTGCAGTTTCAGCCCCAGAGCTGGGTGTGGTGGTAATGACTTCAAAGTCAGCCAGGCTATGTAATAAGACCCTGTATCAATAATAATAATCCACAAATTTTGAAACTGTCAACTACAAAAGTCTACACTCAAAGTTGAATCACCAAATTCAGAAACAAGGTTAGACTAAAGTTGTGAGCTGCCATGTGGGTGCTGAGAATTGAACCCCAGTCCTCTGGAACTGCTGTCAGTGCTCTTAAATGCTGAGCCATCTCTCCAGCTCCCAAGAACCAATTCTTGAACTAAAACTAAGCTATCTAGCTATAAGAAATCCTAAAAGCTGGGCAGTTGGTGGCACACACCTTTAATCCCAGCACTTGAGAGGAGAAGCAGGCAGATCTCTGACTTCAAGGCCAGCCTGGTCTCCAGAGTGAGTTCCAAGACAGCCAAGGCTACACAGAGAAACCCTGTCTCAAAAAAAAAAAAGAAAGAAAGAAAGAAAAAGAAAAAGAGAAAAAGAAATTTCCAAGCTGAAATGCTGAGCTATAACTGAGATATTGCTAGGCAAGAAGATGGCTTAAGTCCAGACCAGCCTGGGCAACACAAGATCCCACTCTTGGGGAAGGAGAGGAGATCCAGGTGCTTCCTTTGGTTGTCAGCAAACAATAGAAAATGACTTTAATATAAAATGTAACCTTATTTGTACATTTGAGATTTTAACACAGGTATACTGTAAACATATGTATAGATGTTTTTAAATCTGGGAAGGAAGAGTATTGGGGGGACACACAGACCAAGCTGGGTATGGTGGCATGTATCTATAACCCTAGCATTTGAAAAGCTGAGGCATAGCAGGGCAATGATGATTCATGCCTTGAATCCTAACACTCAGAAGGCAGAAGCAGGTGGATCTCTGAATTATAGGCCAGCCTGGTCTACAAATCAAGTTTTAGAACAGCCAAGGCTGTTACACAAAGAAACTCTCTCAAAAAAAAAAAAAAAAAAGAAAGAAAGACTGACACCTGAGGATTGCCATGAGCTCAGCTGAGGCCAGTCCAAACTAAAACAGTAAAGTTCCAGGCCAGCCTGGGCTACAGAATAAACCTTGTCTCACAAAATTTAAAAAGCAGGGATGATAGACAGATAGATACATAGATACATAGATAGACACATACATAGATGGATAGATGGATGGATGGATGGATGGATGGATAGATGGATGAATGAATGAAAGAAACAGAGGCATGGGAGATGGTGCTGAGATTAAGACCAATTACCCAGGCTGGTTCCCAGGACTGGCACAGTGGCTTTCAACCATTCCTGTCTTAAGGGATTTGAACCCCCCCTCTCCTTACTTCCATGGGCACCAGGCACACACACAGTGAACATACACATACAGGCAAAACATACAATAAAATATGCAGAAAGTAAATAAATCTAAAATAAAAATTAAAAAATAAAGTCTCCAGAGACAGAAGCAGCAGGTCTCTGTGGTTTTAAGGACAGCCAGAGATAGAGAGACCCTGTCTCTGACTCAAAAAACAAAACTAAGGTATGATAATACTGGGAAGGCCTGATGGCTCAGCAGGTAAGAGCACTTGCCACCATGCCTGACTTGAGGTCAATCCCCAAAACCAAGTTTCCCTCTGCCCTCCACACTCATGCTATGGCACATATATACACTCCAAAATACAATAAAAGATATACCCTTTCACTTTCCAACTTTAGTGCATGTGTTAACATTAGGAAAAGATCAATTCTGGTGGATGTGATGGCCTTTAATCCAGCATCCGGGAGGCAGAGGCAAGTGGATCTCTTGGGAGTTCCAGGACAGCTAGGGCTATTACACAGAGAAACCCTGTCTCAAAAAAAAAAAAAAGCCAGTTCATTAAGCATTAATAACTTGATTAAAATATCCTTGAGAACATGTATTGCCTTCATCCCAATACTATAACAACTTTATTATATACTTCACTGATCAGGGTATCAGGAACAATGAAGGTGTTTTGGGCCAGTAGATAATTAAGTCCAATTGTGTACAAGGTATCAATACACACAGGAACCCGATTCATAACTCTCTGCTGAGTTTGCTTTGCATAAGTTTATCTCCTTTCCTCAAGAAAAAAAAAAAAAAAGTCCCTGGAAGACGTAGATACTAGCTCAAAAAAGCACTAACTTAATCACTTTAAGCTAAACGTGAAAGGAGATTATGACTGAGATAAAAATAAGAACACCTTTGAAAGGAAGTGGTACGGGACATCAACTCCACCAACTGAAAAGCTATTACCTGCATACACTCCCTAAATAGAGAAAAACTGAAGTTACAAAGTTGCAAGTACCTGCTGCACTGTACAGATAGATGGAGTCTCTTGCTTAGCAACTACTAGTGTTGTCTACCAAACACTCGGCCTGTCATAGTTAGGGCATGACAACTGTTCACTTTAAATCCATGTGCTCAGCTTGGATTCAGGATTGATTTATAAAAATAGCTGCTGCTGTTGCTGGTCTTTGAATCCCTGCGCTGATGACTGGGCAGTGTTACCCTATAGGCCTAGAGCAGCTGTATTTCCCTCACCACACCCATTGCTCTGCCTACCCAGCCAAGCTGCCTGCAACTGCCCCCTCCCGCTTGTCACCCTCCCACCCCCCGCCCCCGCCCCCGCCCCCATCTCTGCACCATACTATTCTCCCTCCTCCTGGGCTGAGTGAGCAAATTACAAGCACAAATATCCCCTGATGCAATGCCACAACCATCCCTGGGAAAGAGCAGAGGCAGTTGCCAAAAGCGCAGCAGTAGGAAAATGGGCGGGAGATACTCACAGGGAGCAAGAAACACTGCATAGGCCCTGGGGAGAAATACTGTAACTGGACCAGTGGAGGGATGGGGGAAAGGGGGATTCCAACAGAAAGCTGGGGAACACTATTCTTCCCTGAGAAGTATACGGACTGCAACCTCCCCCGGGAGGGAGGGAGTTCTGGATTACTAAGACACAAACCTGTGGGGAAATCAGTCTCTTCCCCCAAAGCAGCAAACGCAGTTCATCTACACAATCCTAGAGATAAGCGAAGCCTCCCAAACACGCCCAGGAGACAATCTCAACTAAAGTTGAGCTCCCGCTGTACCAGCCCAAAAGAGCTCGTCCCATGTGCTAAATAAACCACAATCTCTGCTCTGAGTAACGTTTCCGACAGCCGCAGCTAGTCCGGGTCCCTAAGTTTCCCGGCTCCGCACCCTTACCGTGACCCCTTTGCCTTCCCAAAGCCAGACGACACTAGACGCACGTCAGTCCCCAAACTGTGCAGGCGCCCCACGCACACAAGGGCTCGAGTTGGATTGTCCAGACCACCCCTCAGTCCCACCCAAAACCCCCAGACAGGGCACGCGCAGGCTCGCCTCAGTCCCCACGTCCACTGACGCCCCTCCTGAAGCCCGGAGAAACGACCCCGGGCGTCCTTCTGCATCCCGAACCCCACCCAAGGCCCCGGGCTGCAGCCGACCCTCGGCGCAGGGACTCAGCACATGTCCAGCCCGAGGCAAGCTGCTCTGCTCCACGGCCTCAGAACGCAGCGAGACCCGACCCCTCGGCCCGCCTCGCCCCCTAAGCGGGCGCCCGGGGGACTCCGAAGGTCACGCCCGCAGGCCCCCCGCCGGGCCCCCTCCCGCAGCTACCCGGGCGTCCTGCAGGCGGACGGCCACCGCCCTTCCCCGCCCCGGGCGGGACCTGGGGGGTCCCCGGCGGCCGCCGCCACGACCCGGGGCAGCGTCTCAGGACACAGCGAGGAGGCCGAACCTCGGATCCCGATCTCTGCGGCACTCACCCGCCGCCGCCGAGCCCAGGCCGGAGCCGCAGAAAGCCGGGAGAGGGCAGAGAGGAGCCGGGAGCAGCCGGGAGGAGCCGCAGAAGCCTCAGCGCAAGCCGGAGGGGCGGGGCGCAGGGAGGTGGCCGCTTCCTCGTCGCCCTCTTGAAGGCCGGCAGGAAGGCGGAGCGTCCCCGCCGCCCGCGGGCGCCACCTCGACCAATGGGCGCCGCCAAGGGGCGGGCCGAGGCGCCGCGAACCAATCCGCGTCGGCCCCTGCCCCTCGACCTCTCCGTGGAAGCCGCACGAGCGAGGGACCGTTGGCGAGGCGCGAGTCGAGGGGGTCTAGGCTGCGGCCTCCCGCCCGCGGATGCCTCAGCGAATGGCGAGCCTCAGGCCGCCTCCACGGCTGCTGAGATGGCCGCTGCTTCCTTTCCCAGCGGAGAGAATGCTGGTGTGGGCGCACGCGGCCTAGGCGCGGGTGGGCCCCAGCGGACCCCGCCGCCCTGACTGGTGGGCTCTATGACGTAACCTGGGCGGGGCGCGGGGCGGGGCCTGGGGCTCGCCGCTAGCCGCCCAGAACCCGGACAGCGGAGGGTGCAGCTCGGGGCAGCCGCCCGGAGCGGGCCTTGAAACGTGGCTGGACCGAGTTGAGGAGGGACATTGTTAGCTGCAAAACTGATTGGCGTGTATACCTCGGCGTGTATTTAGTAAATTAAAATAATCTCATGCTTAGTTTTTGTTTTTTTTTTTTTTAACATACTTACTTGAAAACTTAAAAATCACCTTTGTTCGGTTTTGGGTTTTTTTTGAGACAGTTTTACACCGTCGCGCAGAATGGCCTGAACTTCACTCTGTATCACCCACCTTCCTCAACGTGATGGCAGTGCTTCTGCCTCAGCCTCCCGAGTGCTGAGATTACAGACTTGAGCCGCCACACCAGGCTGAAATTTCCTCCTCCACCACCCTCCTCCTCATCATCCTTCCTTTGTTTGTTGGTTGGTTGGTTGGTTGGGACAGGGTGTCACTATGTTTGATTCACTTTCTATCGCCTGTGGATGAGTGCTTGCTCCGTGTTCCACATCTGTAATTAACTCTTAATCATCACAGCAGCCCTACGTGGTTTTATCCTCAGTCCCATTTGTAGTTTTGGTTTGTGAGTCTCGCCTGTAGCAGTTCAGCCCTCTCTCTCCAGCCCTCCTTATTTAACCCTTTTTATGAAGGAAAAAGACGGACAAGTTTAGTAACAACGTAATGTCTGCAAGCTAGTATTTGGCTAGTGGGGCTTTAACTTAGGTAGCCAGGTGCTAGGATCGTAAACTCAGGAAGACTTGGTTAGGAAGTACAGCTGTGCTTTGTAGCCTTGGGAAAGGTAAGCCTCAATTTTCTCATTTATGAAAATTAGATAATAGTCTCCCTCAATGGAGTTATTAATAGGATGCCAGCGGTAAAATACCATATTCCCTATGAAATCTCAGCAGGGCTTTACAAATGGTGTAAACTTGTCCGGCAGTGGTGCCGCAAGCCTTTAATCCTAGCACTAGAGAGGCAGAGACAGGCGGATCTCTGTGAGTTTGAGACCAGCATGGTCTACAAAGGGAGTCCAGGACAGTCAGGACTACACAGAGAAACAGTGGGGTGGGGAGGGGGTGGTCACAGAGGCAGGCAGATCTCTGTGAGCTCATGCTAGCCAGATAATATGGTGAAATTCTGTCTCAAAAAATAAGAAAATTAATTTGAAGTTTTTTAAGAGAGTAAAAGGATGCCCTGGAATTGTGTGCTAAGGCAGTTGTATATCAAGTTTGAGGTCAGCTGGGTCACCTAACATCAAGACCAGCCTGAGCTATATAATGAGACTATTTCTTGTTTTTTTTTTTTTTGTTTTGTTTTGTTTTGTTTTGTTTTTGTTTCTTCAACACAGGGTTTCTTTGTGTAACAGCCTTGACCTAGAACTCTTTGTAAACTGTGGCCTTGAACTCACAGAGATCCACCTGCCTCTGCCTCAGGAGTGCCGTGATTAACCCAGCTGAGACTGTGGTTAAAAATAATAACAAGGGGCTAGAAAGGTGGCTCAGAGGTTAAGAGCACTGGCTGCTCTTCCAGAGGTCTTGAGTTCAATTCCCAGCAAACACATGGTGGCTCACAACCATCTATAATGAGAGCTAGTGTCCTCTTCTGGTGTACATGCAGTCAGAACATTGTATACATAATAAATCAAAATAATAATAATAATAACAAGCTGGGTGGTGGTGGTGGTACATGCCTTTAATGCCAGCACTCAGGAGGCAGAAACAAGTGGTCTGCAAAGTGGGTTCCAGCTTAGCCAGGACTACACAGAAAAACCTTGTCTCAAAAACAAGACAATAATAGTAATAGGCCAGTAGTCCATGTTTGGATTTCCAGCATTTGGGAAGTGGGAGTTGGAAGATCAGAAGTTCAGGGGCAGCCGAGGATGCATGAGACTGTGTATCAAACCAAAAAAAGTGAAGGATTTGTGGGAAAGATACAGAAGTATAAATAGATAACAACATAAAAGACCATTAATACAACCCAGAAAACTAAAATATCTGTTGTAGATTGCATACCTATTATTTAATGAACCAAAAATTTTGAGCCAAAACCTAGATACCTATCTGTCCTCTCCCCTCCCCTCCCCCCCTCTCTCTCCTCTTATACACACATGAACACACCCACATACACTCAACTCCAAGGAGTATATAAGGAGAACATAAGCCATTTTCCCAACAGATATGCTTAGTGCACTTTCCTGTGGAGAAAAGCCACACAGTGGGTGAGAGCACTTTCAGGAGATGCGTTAGGTGGATTTCCTGACCAAGTCAAGTGCTACACACTTGTAACCCCAGCACTCTGGAAGTCAAGACAGACACTGCTGAGGGTTGCAGATCATCCTAGGCCTCTATGACAAGTCTGATTCCAGTCTACACTGCATATCATGACCCTGTCCAAAAACAAAAACAGAAATTCCGGTGCAGTTGGCAACAGTATTGCACATCAAGCCCTGGATTCTGTCTCATGCCGAATTATTGTCCTGAAAAATAGAAGTGTAAAAATGTTACTTTGATTCTTTCTGGAGCCTAGAGTGGGCTGTCCTAAACTCCATGACAACAGTTGTTTTGAGCCCCTTCAAAATAGATGTCTAGAAAAAACTCGAACGGAATAGAAACCTTTAATATGTGTACCCTAGCTGGAGCTCAGTAAATTTTTCTTTTTTATGTGAGATAGGATCTTACCATGTAGGCCTGGACTAGATCTTTGAATTGAGACCAGGCTGCTGTCCTACTCACAGAGATAAACCTACTTCTGTATCCTGGTACTGGAATTAAAGGTGTATGCCACCATGCCCAGCCCAGAAATCACTATTATTTTTAATGTGTATGGGTATTTTACCTGAATGTATATCTGTGCATCACGTGCGTTAGGAAGGCCAGAGAAGGCCATTGGATCCCCTGGAAATGGAGTTAAAAACAATTGTGAGCCCCCATTGGGATTCCTAAAAATGGAATCTGGTTTCTTCTGAAACAGAACAAGTGTTCTTTCTTAACTGCCAGGCCATCTCTGGAGACCCTAGAAGTCATCCTGTTTTTTGTTTGTTTGTTTGTTTGTTTGTTTCCAAGACAAGGTTTCTCTGTGTAGCCTTGGCTGTCCTGGAATTCACTATGTAGACCAGGCTGGTCTTGAACTCAGAGACTACCTGCCTCTGCCTCCCCAAGCACTGGGATTAAAGATGTGCACCATCACTGCCTGGCTAAGTCATTTGTAAAATGCAAGTTTTTTTCTATGCCTGTCTTTTCTCTGAATAATGACACATGTATTAAATATGTATTAAAAGCTTCAGGCACTATATCTGGGCAGACACTCAGCTATTCTAACCCGACAAAAGTGGCCTGGCCTACTTCCCAGCCAAGTGACCCATTACTCACCATCTTAGTCTCACCCTGACTGTTCCTGATGACTGCCTCTCTCCTGCTCCCTCTCCTCCTCCCTCTCCCTCTTTTCCTTTCCCCCTCCCTCTCACCTGTCCTGTCCCTGTCCCTCTCCCTCACTGTGGTCCCCACCTGGGACCCCTTACTGGTCCTCTCCTGCCCAGCTATTGGCTGGTCAGCTCTATATTTTACCAATCAGAAGATGATGGAGAACAATGCTTACAACAGAAGAAGCTTCATAATAGTGACAATCCCAAAGCTCAGACTGTGACCAGATAGCTGGGTATAGAAATCAGCATTTAATACATGGTGCAACAGTCCTTTATATCTTTCTCCTCTCAGGCCTGTCAGATGTACCTGCCCCAGAAATTGTAGCAACAGCCAGCTTTAGTAATACACACTTGTAATCCTAACACTCAGGAAACTGAAGCGGGATTATGAGTTGAGTTTCGGGCCAGCCTTGGCTACATGGGATCCTATCTTAAAATATGAGGGAAAAAAGAAAAAAAAAAAAAAAAAAAACCTTTGAAGACACTGATACAATTCAGGACCAGTCCCTTTTCTCTCATACTGTCACAGCTTCTTCTGAGCCTTCCTCTTGCCCATGCTACAGTCCAAGCTTCACAGCTTCTGTCCTACCCCTTCCTTTTGGTAAATACCCTCTTGCTTGCCCATGTGGCCCTACGTGAGTGTTCACCACTCACCGCCTATTAGGTAATTATTTGAACAAATATGCATCTGCCATGATATATTATATCTCAAAGTTCTGTTTCCCCACCTCCAGTGGGAAGACTTATCCCTGTAGAGTCCAGCATTCCAGAATGCAAAACACAGCAGAGCCCCTCATCTCACAGCTGGAAAGGATCCTATACTTATGAGGATCTAATATTCAAGCCTTTTAGAATTCATGATAAGTGGTGGTAGCCCGTGCCTTTAATCCTAACACTCAGGAGGCTGAGACAGGTGGCTCTTTGTGAGCTTGAGACCAGCCTAGTCTATAGAGCAGCCAGTGGCTACACAGAGGCTGTCTCAAAAAAAAAAAAAAAAAAGGTAGAAAAAATTTTATAACAAAGCCTAGTTTTGTGCTACACATCCAAGATCTAGGGTCTTGGCAATCTGGGAAAGGAAGACAGTGTCCAGGTGAGACCTCTTCTCAAACAAGAATACATAGGACATGGCGGACATGGCGGTGCATGTTGGGATTCAACCCTGGACAAGCAGCTGAGATGCTTATTTAACCGAAAGGGACT